GATCTTCCCTCCCTGGTTTCCTGGAGTAAAGAAGCCAGGGAGAATCAATCGGGGCCATGGTCAAACGGTCTGGATAGAACATCAAGGCCATTACTGCAGCTAAAGCAGAGCAAGGAGTTAAATCTGGAAAATAATACTATAAGCTGGCTTTATTTTCAGCCAATTTACACACGGGAGACAAACAGATTAAGATTGCAGTGCAGAAGCCCAAAGTCTTCAAAAACACTGGAAGCTACAAAGCTAATAGAAAAAACAAAACAGAACACTGAGCTATTTAGACCAATAATTTGATTAGGTAAAGGCATATTTATATATTTCTAGTAATAAGCCACATTAAAAAAAAAAAAAAGAGTTCCTGAAGATAATTTTTTCTGTAAGATATATAGGACTACGCTCATTTGGCTTTAATTTTTTTTTAGCCACAAAGGTCATGTAAATGTCCAGGAAGAGAATCACATACAGCACTGAATCCATTCCAAATGTGCAAAATCATCTCTTCATTGACCTCTTCCTTCTCCCTCCAGTGACCCACTGCAGATCACGGATTCCTGCTGTTGTCCCTCAACGGATGGCTGTGGCTCATATAAAGCTGTGCATATCTGACAGCTCAGCGGTGGTGCCTCCCTCAACTAGGGATGCCCTGCAGTGCCTCATGTAGCAGGTGCCCACCTCTGAACTTCTCTCCTGCTGCTCTTTGCAGAGGTGGGCTGAGTCACGACACCACAAAGCCTTTTCCTTAGGGTCCCACAGCAGTGGTTGACGTGATTCATCAGATCATCTTGACAAAGAGGACCAGCCATGTATTAGCAGCATGGCTCAGCAGCAAAGCAGGATCAGGCGGGCAAAATGGGATTTCTTTTACAAGCACTTCTAGCATCCAGGGGTGCTCCCGTGGAAGCTGCTTTATGGATCACTGAGCTAGGAGGACCAAACTCTGGCTTTTAGCTAGAACTCCAAAAGTCAACTTGCTCTTTGCTGCCTCTGTACCATGAAAAATAATTAACCTTTATTTAGAAGCTCTGATGCACGGGTATAGCAGCATTATGAGTGACCCTAAAATTTTCCAGAGAAATAGTTATTAGCTTCGTAATGAAAGGTTCAAACTAGCAGGTCTGTCAAGGACACAGACAGCTTCTTGCACCTTGGCATGCAGAAACATTCCCAACCTGGTGCACCTTCAGATGTGCTGGCCATCCTGGTTGAAAATCCTGGGAGCCGTTTGATGCAATAGTCCTAGGCTGGCTTCGTTGAGCATTGCTCAGAGAAGTTCCACAGCCAAAACTGTGCAGTCAATGCACAAAAGAGAGGAATCAACCAGCCACAGAAACAGAACTATCCAAAAGAGGAAAAATACCCTCAGGGGTTGGGGATGTCTCCAAATAGCTCAATGAAAAGCGGGTGCAGTAAATGGGCATTTGCTGATTAAATCTTGGAAAGGGAGAAAGTGGAAAATTGGAGACAGAGGCTATAGCGGGCTGGCATCCTGAACAGAAGCAATCTATCCTGCTGTATTTTGTTCTACGTCCTGTTTCTTTTTTACCTAATTATCTCAACATCTAAAAGGAGAACTGGCTTGTTTTCAAATCTAAAAGATGGCACTGAGTGATCACAGCTTGGTTTCCCAAAGCCAAAGTTGGTTGGATAAAGCATTCACTAAAACGTAGCAGTAAACAATTCAGAGTTGCTATTTTAATGCTGTTGGTACTTTGCCCAGATTTTTATAAGAATATATTAAAGTTTTTGGCTTTTTAAGACAGTGCCTTGACTTTCAGGAAATGCCTTATTTATATCTTTTGCATAACCATGGTTATGAGATTTTTTTAAAAAAATATCTTCTATATTTAGCTGGTTGTGAGACTTCTGGGCACAATTACTGAATCCAACCATTGTACAGGTAACAGGATACCCAGCCAGGGGTACATTTGATTGAACTGGTGGGTTTTAAAATAAAGTTTTGTAAACTCAATATGCCTTTTTAAAAATACAAATATATTGCTGAACCATGGAAGTTGGTATCCAGATAGAGGCTACTTTTTGCAAGCCTCACAAGTCAATTCTCTGGACTTAAGGTATGGGATAGAAATATATCAGAGTTACTTGAGGGACAGACTCTCCCCGATTTCATCTGCCTGTCCCACTAGCTCTAGCAGAGAGGGTATGTTACGGGTTCCATCGCCTACAGAGCTACCTTTTCTGCTGTGGCACCCGCATTTTGGAACCTTCTCCCCCCAGACATGAGATTGGCCTCATCACTCCTGAGTTTTCATAGGTCCCTTGAGACCTGGTTATGTCAGCAGGCCTGGGGGCCCCAGGGGACAGGTGAACTAGTGAGGTGGCTCTATCATTTCCATCCCTTCGCCTATTATTTTCCTTTCCTTTTTCAGTTCTGTTTTTATAGTTTTTAATGTTTTTAAAAATGACTATATAAGGGTATTATGTAACGATGCTTTATATATTTACTGTTTTATTGGACTGCTGTATGCCGCCCAGAGTCACTTTTTGTGAGATGTGCAGCCATATAAATTTGAACAATCAATCAATCAATGAAATTGAACTTATTTGGGGTCTGAGATGGGGGCACAAAAGAGCTTAAGATGGGCGAGGGTATCTGGT